GTGGTGATTAAGAGCTTGGACTTTGGAGCAAGTCTGCCAGGGTCTGAATACTGGCTTTGCCATTTACAGGGCTTTACCACTTAAGGATTTGATTTTCTCATCTAGAAGTAGAGATAGTCATAGTAACTACCTTTTAGGGTAACTGTGAGGGTGTTGTGATTTAAAGTGTGTCAAGTGCTTAGAATAACAGCTGGCACCAAATCATTACCAATAATTATGTCATCTATCCTATTATTGGGCGAAGATTTGAATAAGGAGCAAGGTAATCCTGTTTTGGTGCCTTTGTCAGGTGTTAGGATTGTGTATGATAACCTTTGCCTCTAGAATTTCAGACCAATCCCAAGAAGGATTCTGGAAATGCTTCCCTTTCTAAACCCACACTGTTTCAGGACAAAATTTAGAGAAGTCACAAAGGTAAAAGTGAATATGGAAGAAGAGATAGAAACAATTTCTAAATATTTATGTTCTAAAATGTATTGAAAACATAAAAATCCTTTAAATGGTGATGAAGGGGTTTCAAATAATTACTTTTTATTTTTTTTCCAACTGTGAAATTTATATGTTGAGATTCCCATGTTCAAAACTTCAGAAATTTAGTAATGGGACCACTGTCCTTGTAAATGAGCCCTTTTGGTTGTATCTAGTATTTTGTATTACTGTGGTAGCTTTCATTTTTAAAATACTTATATACAGTATAGTAAAGATTCCTCTGGCTATCATAATTTCAAACTGTGTAACTTTGGTCAGTTTCAGATTTCAAATGTGGTATAACATGCCCAGACTGTGAGCCTGAGAGAGAGAGAGAGAGAGAGAGAGAGAGAGAGAGAGAGACCACGCGCATGCATGTAGCAGGTGGGGATTGGTAGGTAGAAATGAAAAGGTGTTTGTAAAATGAGAATCTCTTAAAATTGATCTTATCAAAGATTATTTACATAAATTATGTGATACAATGTTGTTTCACAGTGCTTTCATCCCTGGAATATTCTTATCTAGGCTGTTTGTCTAGAAGATACTAATTCATTTTTTCAAAAGTCAGTTTAAATGCTACCTCATTTAAGGAGTCTTTTACATCCCCCAGGAGGACTTCTATCAGAAAACCTAAAACACTTTATACTTGTTTACTGTCCTCTCCCTTTCCCAGGCAGGAAGTCAGAAATTCTTGCCAGCTTCATGTCCAGATCTCTAGGACCTGGTACTGCGCATGGCTGTTAGGAGGCCAAGCATCTAGTATATAATAAGCAATTGAATAGTCCTCATACTGTAATCTTTGGGCTCAGAATTTCAGCTAGGTAGGACAATCTAAGACATACCCTTATTAAATCCCATCTTACCTAGCAGAGGCTTAAGCAGATGTATTTAGGATTCTCATATTTGAGTGTATATCGAACATGATGCCTCTTTGCGCAGTATCTAGTTTTAGAGGTATAACCTGTAAAGCGTTGAGAACATTTTTTATCAGAGCACTCTTCCAACCTGTCATATACTTATCATTTCTGGAGATCTAAACCCCTAGCAAATTGAGAAATAGTTTCAGATTTTTAGAATGTATCTGTTATAATAAACAGATTAAATGCAGCTAGAAATACTTTTTATTATTCATGTATTATTTATGTCAAGAAATATTCCCCTACCCCTTAAAATATTAAATTCTTATTTTAATTTTTTTAGACAGAGTCTCACTCTGTCACCCAGGCTGAAGTGCAGTTGTGCAATTTTGACTCACTGCAACCTCTGTCTCCCAGATTCAAGTGATTCTTCTGCCTCATCCTCCTGCGTAGCTGGGACTACAGGCATGTGTCACCACGCCTGGCTAATTTTTGTATTTTTAGTAGAGACAGGGTTTTGCCATGTTGCCCAGACTGGTCTTGTATTCCTGACCTCAGGTGATTCACCCACCTTGGCCTCCCAGAGTCCTGGGATTATAGGTATGAGCCACTGTGCCCAGCCTTTTTTTTTTTTTTTTTTTTTTTTAATGTTTAACTTAAAGAAAAGTTAGGAGGCAAATATCCCCATGTTATATGAGATTTGACCTTGGATATGACACTTTGGGCAAAGACTACATTTTTTGGCTTCATCTTTTACATCTGTTAAATGAAAAAGTATTAATAATATTAACTTTGTAGAATTGGCAGGAAAAGTAGCCATAATGTATACATAATACCCTGAATTCATCTAGTTCAGTAAATGTTTTCTGTTGTAGTGTGAGGAAAAACAGTTTGATGCTTCTATGTAACTGATGATGTTTGATACTGTATTAAGTCCCAGAATGTAAATAAGTCCTTCCTGTAGATAGAAGGACCCAAAGTTGAATGATAAACCCTCACTATTCTAGAACCACTCCCCAATTTCTCATCACAAGGCTGCTGAAACAACTATTTATTATTTTATTGCCCTCCAGACAAGGCATGGTTTCCCCTCAAAGATTCTGGTGATTATATCATCTAATCCAGGAAAGAGAGCACTGTGACTTCATAGAAATCAGAGGCATAACTGAGATGTCCTGGGCAAACTGGCAGGTGAGGTTACCCTTCCCTAAGGCCCTTTAACAGGACAGCACAAACCCTTCACTCCACTGCTGCAGTTGGAAGTGAGCTTGGAGAGAGGCTTTATCTGCATTCAACATGGAGGGCTAGTACTGCACAAAATCTTAGCTGTGTGAATGCTTATGACCCTGGGGACAGAATGCTAATCAAACAAGGATGGAGATTGAGATTCTCTCTCTTGAGTAAAGAGATAGGCAAGTTACTTCACCAGTCTACCTGAAACTAATTTTACTCAGTTTTCAAGGTGCAGTCCATAAAATGGGGGATGATAATATCTGCATAAGATTAGTGATAGGATCACTGAGCATATGTAACTCTTCTAGCAAGACCTGACACATAGTAGTTGCTTTATCAGTCCCTTTCCACTTGTCACTTAAACCCCTCCCCCAACCAAGAAAAGAACCATTGATAGATGAGGAACAAAATAAAGTCAAATAGGTTAGTTCCACAATCCGAGCAAACTTCTATGGTAAATTTAGATATTTTATATATATAATTCATGTTATTAGGCAAAAATGGCAAACCTTTGAGAAAAATGTGATACTACATTTATACAAACTTTAGTCTTCCCTATGCCTTTCATTTTCAATGTCAAGAATAAACATTAAAGTTTGATTCTCTCATCAATTCAAGTCTGTGCTTTGGCCCATCTGGTCTTACTGCTTCCTATGAGGATTAAACATGAAGGCATGTGGACTTTAGCACAGTGCATGGCAATAGTAAGTGCTCAATCAATGCTCTTTCTTCCTTTCTTAGTCCAGACTATCACCCAATTATTTTTTCAGCATCATCATTCACTGAATGTTGCCTCTGTGCCAGATACTTTGCTGGACACTGGCAATGGGTATAACCCCCATCCTCTTAACTCAGTCTAGAGATAATGGTCAAGTTGATGATAGGAACGATAGCCACAGGACAGGATTTGGGGAGGCAACTTGGGAGAGGCAAGAAGCTCACTGAGAATAGCCTCTGAGTTCTCCTGGGGTCTGGAAGACATAGGGGTAGATGGAGGGTTAGAAAGTCTCATGCAAGGCCTGGTGCGGTGGCTCACACCTGTAATCCCAGCACTTCAGAAGGCTGAGGCAGGCAGATCACTTGACATCAGGAGTTCGAGACCAGCCTGGCCAACGTGGCAAAACCCCATCTCTACTAAAAATACAAAAATTAACTGGTGTGTTGGGGGGCACCTGTAATTCCAGCTACTTGGGAGGCAGAGGCAGGAGAATCACTTGAACCTGGGAGGTTGGAGGTTGCAACAAGCCAAGATCTCGCCACTGCACTCCAGCTTGGGTGACAGGGCGCGACTTCGTCGTTCCCCCCCCCAACCCCCCCCCCCCAAAAAAAGTCTTATGCAAGTGGAATGCAAAAGGATCCGATCGATGCTTTGGCCCCTGCCAACTTGTCCAGTCTCCTCTGCTCCAGCCTGCCAAGCTGCTTTTCAGTTCCTTGCATGTGCCAAGGGCTCCTGTTCCGCTTCCCTTGCTCTGCTGTTGCTGTTGCCGCTCCCTGTCTTTGCCTGGTGAATACCTATTCTTTCCTCAAGTCTCAGCTCCAAATGTTGCTTCCTGAGAAACGTTTCTTGTTCCTTCTATCTAAATTCAGGCCCCTGGCATTCTGTCTTGAGCACTCTGCTCTTTTCTGTCACAGCTCCTGGGGCAGTTTGAATTGGGTGTTCATGTGTACATTTTGATAGCATCTCTATTTCCAACTAGATCATAAGCCCCATGTAGACGGGGACCACATCTTGCTTGGTCTGTGCTTTATTACTGGCCTCTAGCACATTGGTACTAAGTATCTTATTATGCTTAGGGAAATAAATTATTTTCTTTTCTCTGATGGCTTTGAAGTATAGTACTTGATTTCAGGGGCTTCTTTGTCCCCTGTCTTGTTTACTAACACTTGGAAAGGTTTTAAAGCCTCAGATGCTTTTTTTTTTTTTTTCCAGAGTTATCTTGAAATTCAACAACGATGGCAAATATTTGAATCTCAGTCACACAGATGGATCATCTGTCCCCCAGCCAGTATTCCCAGCCAGTATTAGGGGTGACCTGAGATCCTTTCTTCTTTTGATGAGGGGAAAGGGATTAGCAAACAGCAGTATACCAGGAACCTAGATGACAAGCCTGGTTTTCAGACATGTTGAGCTTAAAGTATCTGTGGGATGTGGGGAAGAAATGTCCAACAGACCATTTGAATAGGAGGCTGGAGGCCAGGCGCAGTGGCTCATGCCTGTAATCCCAGCACTTTGGGAAGCTAAAGTGAATCACTTTAGCTTGAATCACTTGAGTTCAGGAGTTTGAGACCAGCCTGAGCAACATGGCAAAACCCCATCTTTACCAAAAATCAAAAATCAGCCGAGTATGGTGGCGTGTGCCTGTGGTCTCAGCTACTCAGGAGGCTGAGGTGAGAGGATTGCTTGAGCCCAGGAAGCAGAGGTTGCAGTGAGCCAAGGTTGCACCACTCCCCTCCAGCCTGGGCAACACAGTGAGACCCCGTGTCAAAAATAAAAAACAAAACCAAAAAGAATAGGAACCTGGAGCTGGAAATGTAGTTCAGAATTGAACACTTGAATTTGAGAGTCATTTACCTTGTGCTGATAGTTGAAACTAAAGTGTAGGCAAACTGCTAATAGAGGAAGACGCAGAGAGAGAAGGAGAAAGATAAAATCGTGGAAGGGAATTGAGAAGGGGCCCAGAAATAGAGCAGTGAGAGAGGCAGGGGGAGGCGCCTCTGTATTCTTCATCTAAAAGACATCATTGGACAAGCAATATGTTTTGAGTGAGTGAGGAGTAGAGAACCAGAAAAGGATTTCTCCTCTTTTAATATTGCTTTAAAAATATTCTAAGTCAAACAAACCTGAAACTGAGGAGCTCTCAATTATCCGTAGAGCATGAATTCATTTATCTGTCAAGAAAACTCATGGACCTTACCTGAAGAAATGAACTATATTGATCTAAGAATTATTTCTATGAAGAGTCCATGCCTCAAAAACAGTTGTGAATTCTGGATGGTGGAAACATGTTTTATTTTTAATTCTTTATACTTCAAACATTTTTTTTTTTTTTAAATAGCACATTTGTGTGCAATAGGCATTTGGTCATTTGGCAACAATCACGTGTGAATTGTTGAATTACCAGAGAACCAACATGATTGTCATTGCCATTTTACCTTTTGGGATTTCTGAATTTGGGTTTTTGGGTGTTGGTGAATTTGTTTGGGTTACATTGTATGGCCAGGCTCCTTAACACTCTAGATCGGGTTTGGCAGGCTACTGCCTAAAGCCAGCTGGTCACATCCTGCCTGCGGCTGGATTTTTGTATGGCCTGTGAGGTAAGATGGTTTTTTACCCTTGTTGAGGATAATAAAAAAAAAACAAACAAGAACATGTGACAGAGACCATAAGTGGCCCACAAAGCCTAAAATATTTACAATCTGACTCTTTGGAGAAAAGTTTGCCAGCTCCCTTCTTAGGTTATAAGTTGCACGTGAAAGGAATCCAAAATTTCATAGGAAAAGCTCAAAGTGATGACTTCAATTCCAGAATGTCTTGAATGTCTTAACATTTTTAAAGAGTGACTTACCTGTTGAATCAGGAGAACACATTTTTGGTGGTGAAATGAAGACTTGATTGAAAGAGTGCCTTGTATGATTTGAGGAGTGCAGACAGAGGATAAAGGGACTTCTGTATTGTATGATGTTTCAGAATAGTTCTGGGAAGTGTCAGCATATTCTGGTACCTTTGTTGTGTTTAATTTATCCCAGACAGCCTCAAGTAAACACTAGAATTTGTATGTTGCAGCAAGATATGCAAAGTAAAATCAAATATATATGCGAGATTGTATTATTTTATTGTATTTTGCTGGTCCTCTGAAGAGACTTTTTTTCTAGTTGCAAAAAATTAAAATCCTCGAGTGTTAGATGTTAGAAACTTTTTGAATTATGTAATTTCTTTATTTCAGTAGTGTTTCATATCACCTCCTTCTGTCTTTGTAATGAGATGTTATCAATCTGTTCTGAGCATAGTTTTTTTTCAGTCTTGAATCCTCCTTGTATCTTCCTATTCTATCAGAATCTGCAAGTTCTAGGATATAAAAGTTGATTTGAAACAGTTCTGTAACACTAAACAGACGACTGCTTAGTGAGACTCTGTCTAATCAGTTGCTAAATAATTCTCTCTCAAAAGCAGATTTGATATTTACATTTTGATTTTCATATTCTGCTCACAATGTTTGTTGACGGTGTCTGACATTCCCTGCCACTGGATAAATAAAGCCTATTTCCTTTTCAACATTTTAGGCTATTATTCTCATACAAGAGCTAATAAGCAGAAGGTCAGATATATTACCAAACTATGGTCCTGTCTATCAGAAGAAGCCAGGAACCTTGATTAATATGCCTTGTTAACTGATGATTTCAGTTCCATACTGGTAGTGCTAGAATAATTTGTATAAACCAAGCAGTACAGATTCCTTATTTTAGCACTAAGACTTACAAAGGCTTCTTTTAGCAGCCTTTAATTTTGTACTTAGGTATGTGACATAGCCTGTGGCTGTGATAGCTACTGTGAATCTGCAGTTGTTTTGGGATGAAAGGAAGAGGCAGCTGGAAACTCGGTAGCTACATCTAGCTGTCTACCTAGAGAGGGCCTTGATTTCAAGTTTATCTAAACAAGCTCGACTAATCCCAACTATCTAGGGGGATCCACTGTCAAAACAAGCAGCGTGGCCCTGAGGCAAACACAGCTATACAGAAATGAAGGCTGGGGCTTCCAATACTCCGATGACTGCATACTGGAGGCCTTTTTCCCCCCTGAAAGAGGGTAAGAGAGGTAGAATTTGCATAATGCCTTTTCATTGGAAACTTTTGGAAAGCTGACAGACCTTCAGCTTATAGATTTGTAGCCACAATACAGAGTCTATAGGAGAATCCTTGAATGACCTAACCATATTGAAAGAAAATATAAAAGCGTCCAAGTATAGCCAAGTGAGAGAGGAAAAGAGGCTGATGTATTGTCTAACATCTGCTGTACTTCTCGTTAGTTTTGTTCTTTGCTATTCTGTGTGGACTTTGGAGAAGCCTAAGACAGCCTAACATGAATCCTATAATCTTCCTTCTGAATATTTATGTAGCGTGCCAGCTTCTAAGCTGTCCTTTGCGTTTTCCTACTTCCCCCTCATTTTCATGCTCTCAAATGAGGCCAACATTTCAAAAGCTAAATAAATGTTTGTGAATGTTTATAAAAGATTTGCATAAATTTGTCCTTGTCTGACAAAGATCACTTTTTTCTTATGCCAGTTCTGAAAAAAAATTTTTTAAGGTTTTGGTGCTTGTCTTGACAACAAAGTCCTGCATCCCAGAACAATGATTGCTGATTAAGTGGGTATGCAATTGTGACTGAATAGGCTTTCAAGATTCTGAGTAAAAAGACCTATCATCTGAAGGCTGAATTATAGAATTTAGAAAATGTTATCAGAAGTACACATTTAAATCTATTTTTTGGTACCATATCATTAGGTAAGACAAAGCATTCTTACAGTTAAAAATATAGCCACCCATCGTTTAAAAAATTCTCCTGTATAAATTTTAATAATTAGAATGTTTCAATAACTCAGTATATCACTTTTCTTCCCTATGTTTGAACATATTTAAAAATAATTTTTAGACCTTTAGGTACTTTTTGGAAACTGTAGCTCTACCAGTTGTATGTGTTAATACGGTTACTGGGGTGGTGATCAGAGGGAATTTACTAGGCAGTCCTTTAAGATATTTGAATGCTCAATCATACCTTGAGAAAATATGAACTACATGAAATATGTGTTAGGGTTTAATTACAGGACACACACACACAGCGCCCAGACACTTATGTGACCGACGGGTGTTTGCTGAATTCGTTTATCTTTTAAAATTAGAATGGATTTTGTGGGGTGGCAGGGGAAGTTGTGGGTAGAGGTGCTAATTTAGTTCAGAGATATTTGAAGATTGGCAGGAGAGAGAGGTAACAGCCAGTTCTGTTAGTCCTTTGGTTGTATTGGTTTAGAGGTTTAAGTTGTCATTAAGGCACAAACTAGAGCCACTTCTCTGACACAGTTTTTATCACATCTGCTAGGCTTGTGTCCCAAGAGGAGACGTCGAGAGCAGTGAATTCAGCATGGGCCCATTATCGACTGCTTTTTCGTGTGTTGTAAAAGGAGTGAGACCTCAGGGAGGCTTGGAGCCTCCTCCCGTGTAATGTCCAAGTCAGATTTGAAGGACTGGTGGCAGGAAAGCTTTGGCCTTGGGGTGTGAATTCTAAGAAATAGAGGCACAATTAAGTTTAAAAAATTCAAGGACTTTGAGCTTGATAATGAAAGATTTTTCTCTAGACTAATGTGAGCAGAAAAGTTGCCCATCTGTGCACATTTTTGTGTGCATTTAAAATATTTAAAGGCTGACAGCTTTTAATATGCTTACAAAATAGTATTTTTATCAGTGCTCTTTTTTTTTTCTTTTCTTTTTAAATAGTATCTTCCTAAGGGCAAGTTGCCTCTTCACTGAAATCATGTTTGCAGTGTACTGTTGGGACCCCTATTCCTTTGGTGTATTCTGACTTGTGTCCTCTCCTCCCGCCTTCCTTTTGGAAATATTGATAACATAAATATTCAGATAACAGGAATTAAAATGCTTAAGAAAATGAGCAAGAGAAAATATTTTAGAGTAATCATATTACTCTAAAATTACCACTGAATTCTGATGCCACTGAATGCTAATTGTTAAGAGATCATAACCAAATAATTTGTTCATTTTGGAAGTACAGCATTTGAAGCAAGTGTGAAGAATTTTGTTGCCATTTCATGCTGACCTTATAAATACAGCTCTCTCATTTTCAACCACTTTGTGTAAGATTTAAAATTAATAAAAGGGAATCTTGGAATGGAGGATATTATGTGATCATGGAACAACTTTGTTTTAGATAAGTTCGAAGAAAGGGGAGGATGCAAAAGGATAAAGTAATTGTATTAAAAAGTTTTAAAAGTAAGATTCTGTATTTTTGCTTCAGACTTCAAAGGCCATGAAGGTTTATACTTAAAAGTAGTTTCGGAGGGGTCTCTTTTGCTGTCAAAAGCCTTCTTCTTCTGCACTTACTGTCCTCGATAATTTAGGAACTCAGTTTATATAATATATGTTTATAGAATTTGATGGATTTATTATAATTTTACCTTTGAATTCCAACGTGGAAACTACATATTAGATATCACAAATTAGCAAAATTATGACTCAGAATTAACTGAAGTTTATAAAAAGTAAACTAGGGGTAAATATTGAAATGTACCAAAGAAAGGAAGCAGACTCTGTAGCATTTGAGCAGCGTTGTTAGAAATTTGACCTGGCTTTTATGTTTGGGTGTTGAAAGGCCTTTCTGTAAAACCTCTTATTCCAGGCTTCTTTTTCCCACTGAAGAATATTAAAATTTGGTTGTAATTACACTATGGGCCTTGGATTTAATTTGACACTTATAGTGAAGGAGAAAAATTTTATTTCCTGTGTTCACGTTTAGGAAACTTCTGATCAACATTCTTGAACTTGGTGCTAATTAAGCCTCCAAGAACAACTGCTTTACCCTTCTTAATCATCAGCATTTAAAACCTTTGTTAGCGTTCATTGGGAGTCCCTGGTTTTAACTTGAAATGGCTTAAAGTAGAAATTTTGTTAGCTTTTTTGTATGTTTGGATTTTGTGTGTGTTCTGTTTTTAAGTTTCAACTTGAGTTTTAAGATCATCAATCAGAGGCTTTTCTTTTAAGTCAGTGGCACTGCTCACAATTGCAGGACTTAGAGGTTCAGCATCTCCCTCATGGTATTAAAAAAAATTTAAACATAGGGAGTATTTTAGGAATTTGAGCTCTGCTGATCTTTTCATCACACACCTACATTTTGAAATGAACAAATAAATTAGATATAAGAAACCCAGGAAATGTTCTCCCACGGTTTCCCTTCCTCTCCCTCTTTCACTCTTGTTTTTGGACAAAGGTAAATCATCAACTGCTACATCAGCTTTCAGCAAGCCACAAAGAGGTTAATTGTAGATTTACATATTTTAAAATACATTCATTTATTCAAGCTATTTCTTTTCTTTATTTAAATCTTTTTCTGCACACATTTTTTTCCCTTTGAACTATTGAGAATATGCCTCATCTTCTTATGTTCTGTAACTCCAGTGGACACTATAATCACCCTGCACTTTTATCTTTCAGATGGCATTTATTTATGGGGTGTGTATGTCTGTGTCTGACTGTCAGTTGTTTTCATCTGCCAAATAAAACTAATTTTTGTTTATAGGTTTCAATGAAGCAATGAAAACAAAGTATTTGACGTCTGGAATGTTGGTTGTTGCAGGATTTCCTATACCCGTCTACCTAGCACCCCAAGGTCAGGGTGAATTAGTTTAGCCTTCTCATTAATAATCCCAGTTAACTTCATTGAATTTAGTTTTCAAAGTTTTGCTTCCAGATAGGATTCTTTAATATTATACATTTAAAAGTTTACTGGGTTCTTAGGTTCAGTGTCAACTGAGTGTAATCTAATTTCTCCAGATTGGAGTAAATTCGGGCCTTCTGACCAGATGAGAATTAGAATTGGATGAAGTGAATCTAAAGTAGACTGAAATGAATCTTGAGTTCATTGCTGAATTTCATTTGCAAGTGTGTCCAGCATTACATGTGTTAATTTCATATTTTGGTTCAAGAGGCTTGGTATCTTCTTGTGGGGAGAGCTTTGTAGATGCTACTTTTCTACTACTCTATGCAATCTGCTGCTTCACGTATGCATAACTGAAAGATTTGTGCAACTGCCTCTCTAATGCACTTCCTCCCTGCCCCCTCTGCTCTTATTTCTTCCCACATGAAGTATCATATATTTTGTTAGGAAGAAAAGCCCTTTTGGAATTGCCTATTTCATAAATTGTATGGTGACACAAAAGGATTTAATGCTGTATTCTTGTCTCATTTATTTTGAAAACTTTGCTACTGAACTCACCTTAATCAATGAGCTCACTGTTGTCTCCAATAAGTTATGTGTTGGATATATTGATTGGGAGGGATTTTAGAAGACCCGTCTGGGGTTTATAATGTCAGCAGTGTTTTGATTATGAAAAGAGTTGGAACCTGGGGACATGGAACCAGGTGGCAAATGTCCTAAAGCCAGTGGTGACATGGTGGACTGGTTTCCTCCTGGGATCCAGTTCATGCCCTGCACTTTAACTGTGGTGACTGGCTACTATAGATTCACTTTTTTGCTCATTAAAATGTTAAAAAATCAAACTGTACATAAAAAGATTTGTGAAAATATAAACTTGGGAATTGATCTGGAGAGCTGGCACACAACCCTCCCCACCCCCTGCCTTAGCAATGAGGTCATTTACATTTCATCAGCTGTGCTGCATCCCCAAGATCCGATTTATGTGGCAGTAGTTGAAGTTGCACCGAGGCTGGTTGTCTAAAAGAGCTTGTGTAGGCAAGAGAAACGGGAACAAGAACAAAAAATTACCATCTACAAAGAAGGTGCCCTAGCCAAAGACACAAGTTCTAGCGAGAAAAAGGGGTTGGTAACTGGTTAATGACTGATGTCCCAATAAAGTTAATATTTAAAGACTGTGGGACACTGCCATGAATGTGCTGCTCAAAATATATTTAAATCAGGATTTTAAAGTTCCCCTTTCTCAGAGAGTCGTATTTTTCATATTCAAATAATTGTATTTTTCTTTGGGAAAAGAGGATAAGGCATGAATGTTTATATGTAAGGAAAACATCTGTATTAAGAAAATTGGTTTATGTAACTTATTTATTAAATTGGTTTATTGCCGTTTTAATTTACAGAGAACATTGCTTGTTTTTCCCTCCCTCTTCCTGTCCTCCCCTTCCCAAATTAAGAAGTAGATATCTCAGGTCTGAATTTGATAATGTGTGAATATGCTGAACACAGAGTAGATGCTCATTTTTGTTTTTTCTTCTGACAGCACACCACCATCTTGTTTGATTTAAATTGGAATATCAAGCTCTTGTAATATCACAAACATGAAGAAACATATTGTAATGTACCAACATGTGCCTACGTTTGCCTATATTCCCTTCTCCCTCCCCTCCCCCTGCCCCATTGCTTAATTAGATTTATTGCTGTTTGCTTTGGTAAAAAGGAAAGCTGGTGGGTGGTTACACTCAGCTTACATTGGGTATTTTGATATTTGTTCTAATATTACCTGACAGACAAGTTCAAGTTTGGTTATTACTATTGATATTAGAGAGTGGTAAGAAGTTTCTATATTGTAGTGAGTAATAAGTTGGGCATATTAGATTCCTTTGACTCTGCTGTAGAGCACAATGCCGTCTCATAGCCATGGGGGTCTTTTCTTTCAAAAATCTTTGAGGCCTTTTGCCAGTGCAACTGCAGCATAGAGTAGAGAAGTACTTTCTGCACCTGTAACTTTTGAGTGGTAAAGGATAGCTGTCTTTGTAGCTGATACTGTCAATGAGTGAGCACTGAATACTGAGTTTTAAAGAATAGCAGATTCATATACTGAAGTTAAGAGATGCTTTCTGTTACTAGTCAAAACTTGAAGTGGAAGGAAATTTGTAAGGAATTTGTGTGTAAATCATAAGGATTTTGTGTATGCGAATTATAGTATATTTTATAATTAATTAACACTACAGGCATTAAATGTTTTATGTGATCTCTTTTCCTATCTTTGCCTGATAATAACATTATGCACTGAAAGATTGCCTTTGTTCTGATTCTGTATTACCTATTGCAGTTTATCTAAGCGTGATTAGTTTATAAACAATGTATATGCCTGAGTGCCACATTATAAATTAATTAATTTATAAATAGTGTTTCTTAGGATATGCTGAGGTGTTCTCATCCACTCTTTTTCACTTCTTAATTTCCTATTCATTTATTATATTATTTCATGACATGCCTTAACAGTGCTGTGATATACATAGTGCCAGTCCAAGATGATATTAAAAAATAGGATATGCTCAATTGAATTATGTAGGCGGAACATGCTCTGGCAGAGCAAGTCAGTGTGCTTTCTGCTTCATTGAGTGGGTTATTAGATTGATGTGGTTTATTTCTTGAATGATAGAACTGGTTTTAAAAATAAATGAAGCGAGAAGCATCAATTCAGTTAGCATTGATAATTCATTATTATTGGTTAGAAAAGTGCTACATTTGTAAACTGATCTTTAATTTATCACTTGGATTAGGGTTTGCAATGGGCAGGTTTGCTTTAATTTGAACCAGCTTCTCAATGACTGAAAAATGTGTTCTTCATTTCGTCTTGAAGTTGGGATTTTAAATACTTAAAAAGCAAATCAAATGCATGAAAGGAATACTTTTTTAAAATTTATAACATTGGTCTGTGAACTTATGATAAGCACCAACTGTGGGCTGTCCAAGTCTGCAGTTAAATTAAGTCAAGCTAAGGAAAATTCTATGAAGGAAATAGTAACTACCTATCTATGTGGTTAGCTATGTGTATATGTGCTATATATATGAAATGAGTCTTTTAGGGAAAGTCACACACCACTGTATATTGTGTGTCATGTACTTTTGTTGTTGTTGTTATTGTAAGAATTTATTTTATGAATAAGTTGTTGAGATGTCACCTTATTTTGTGTGCCCTAATCCTGAATAATGTGCCTGGCTTTATGTACTTATATATGTATATATATATTTTTTAAAAAAGACATTTAAAGTGGTAGTTTGCTTTAGATTTTAATAAATTACAAGCTGGTGAGTCTGTTCAATTAATTTCAATAAGAATAGTACATACTTAAAATTGTTACAGTTTGGTTCCAAAATAAATGTATGCCAAAAATGGCAACTTCTTTATAAAGTAAGTAAATGAAGTTTTAAACTCTAAAAAATGTAGCTGACAATGTTCAGGGACAATTATCTTCAAGTTGGCTTTCCATTCTGCTGTGATTTGGCCTATTGATGTTGGGAAGCGTTGTCTAATCCCGGCCCCCTCTGTTCCTAGGTAACAGGCAAAAACGGTGCCAGCAACAGCGGCCCTGCCAGGCCAAACCCATGTGGCTCGGTGTTATTCACTCTGATCCATATGGTCAGGCTGGAGATGTTCCCTGGAGGGGTGTTAACACTCAGCAACCCAACCGCCTCCCTCCCTTCAGAGCTTTCCTGCATGGCTCCTGCTGCTTGCCCATGTGTGATTCTTGATTAATTTTTCATTTTTAATGAAGTTTGATCATGTTTATTATTTCTCATGATTGACTGCCTGGTACTCCTCCCATGTAATTGATAAAGCCCATATTTCTTCATCTGTCTCCTCTTTCTTTAGGGTAAAGTTGCTAGATTGTGTGCTGTGGTTAATGTTAGATTTATTGGTCCCATTAGATGTATAAATTATCTCTCTTTCTCTCCACAGGAAGTTCTACAGACTTTGACCAAGTTTTGTTTCCCCTTCTATGTTGACAGGTAGTGTCAGATTTTCAAACTTTACTAGAAAAAAAAGTGTCAATAAACCTGCTATAGAAAATAAAAACCATACCATTCTTAACATTCTGTCTGTTTAACCATGATTTAAGATACCTGTGTTCCAAAGAGAGTTGCAATATTCTCCCTTCCTGGGGTTTTTATTGACACTATCAAAAAGTTTAAAGCTTAGACTTTGCATTGGTTAGTTTGTGAGATGTATTTTGTATGGCATTAAATTTTTGATTTTGGTTATCAGACTTAAACTGTGATTAAGAATGGTTAGTATTTAGTCTGATGCTATTTAATTGTTATTTAAATATGAATATATTTGTCTTAAACAAGTAATATTACTTGACTCCAAAGTTTTGTATTATATAGACTTTGTTTTTCCCAGACTTCAACTTATAATTTAAATCAGCCTAGCCCTATCTTGTTTAAAGGTATTCAGCTATTTAAAGAGAATATTGCTAAATAGTGTTTTATATTTTGTCTAGGTGGCTAAGAATGGTATCTGGGGAAAGCAGAATTTTCTATAGATTTCAAGACTAAAAAGTACAAAACTGCCTAAACATTTCCTTAGTATTTACATTGTGATAAACTGTTTCTTAGGAGGAAATCTAAGAACTCTAAGTCAATTAAAATAGTCTGAGTGTTTTATTTTCTTTTTAACGTGTCACTGGTTAATGAAAATTTTAGAAGAGCTTTTTTTTTTAACTTTATAAACCTAATTTATTAACGATATTAATAAAATGACAATTATTTTATTTTCAATACTCGTTTTCATTACAGTTGAAGCATTATCGTTTTACATTCATTTATATGCCCACTTGATTGTTGTCTCTTCAGGTTTCTCTTAATGGAAATTTGAACTATGAAACTGTACATACAGTACATCTTTAAAAATCCACTTTTATTGACAGAGAGGTTGTAGAAAATAACTTTGTAAGTAAGAAATGCCATAATATAGTCCAAGAAAGCTGTAAAATTTGTGCTTCTCTTCAGAAAGATTCTATCATGTATTTTAGTATACCGAAACAAGGCAAAGCCTGTAAGATGTCAGTGATTTAGAGTATATGTGGGTAGTATGCTGCTTGGATCTTTTCTACACGTTGTAATATCACTGTCCTGGTTTATTTGGCATAAACCTAAAGATGGTATGAGATGAGAATTAGTAGCCAAAGGAGTTTAAAAGGGTACTAAAAAGCAACTCTGGAATGTTGCCAGCCACTTCTAATCACTGCTCTCCCTGGTTCTAACATTTTATTTTTTCTTAAGCCAATCAACCATTGTAGTATTTCCAGACTCAGACCTTGTAAATCCTGGTACCAGGAATGTTTTAGTAGCAGGTTGATGCTCAAAAAAGAATAGCCTTAATTCTAAGAGGGTCAATCTTTGTAATGAGAGTCCTCTTGTCTCTTCTTTAGCCTATTCCTCTTAAAAATAGCAAGAAAGTAGGGTTTTGTTTAAAGATATTTAATGCAGATTTCACATTTTATATGTATGAATTAGCAATGTATGAAATCTCCTCCAGCCACTTATGTATGACAAATTATGGCAAAGACATATTTATAAAAAGTAGTAAAGCTGAAATGTTTAAAAATGTCGTTAGGTATTTAACAAAGAAAAATAAGAGAAAACATTTTTACATGACTTCTTGTTAGAGTTGATTTGTTTTGTATAGGTGTTTCTTAATTGACTTTGTAAACTTATAAGAAATGCATAGAGATTAAATCTCTCTCTTTCCCACCAGCACACGTGCAGGTATGTGCATGCATACACACATACACATACTTATATTTCTTTTTCTCTGATTTATACCACACATACACTTCTACTTCCCTACCTGTCTGAGTGATTACATCCTGAAATGGCAGAAAAGCTGAGTCCTTAACTGATAATTCTAAAATCTTTTTTGTTACCAATAATATCTGATGCCTTTTTGTTGTTGTTAGAAATATATTTTTCTTCCAGAATCCCTCTCTCCAAATTATGTTGCCCGAATCCTGTTCTTTTTTCTTTTTCTTTTTTTTTTAACAAAAGGATTTGAGGATGGGAATGTTTCTTTTTGGATATTTTATTTCTTAATATGTACAATAGTTCTTTCTTACATTGTATTATATTATATACCCTATGAGTGTTAATAACTTTTATTGATACCAAAAAACCACTTTATTTGGGGACTATATATTTTCTTTCTGTTCTCTCACCTTTAACCTTGGTATACTTTAATACAGAAGAGATAATAATAATAAAGTTTATTTATAAGAAATATAAGGGTTTCAATGTCTCAGCTTTTTATTAGTTTGCAGTTAGCACTGTCAAATGGATATCTCCAGATTCTGAGATCCACAAAGCCCCCTACATGTGTTTATGATATTGTTTGACTTAGAAAATATGCCAGCTTGGGAGACGAGTAATGCCCCAGGTGATTTCTTTCAAAAAAGAAAGCTTCCTAATCTTTTCAGTATCTCTGCTTTTCTACCCCAAGGAACAGTAATAAAACTTTCTGACGTTTCTAGTCTATATCAAGAGTGGGATTTTCACAGTCATCATCAAATCACCTGTTAACTTTGACATCTTGCTGTCTCTTGTTTTGTTTTAAGATTTTTCTTTTTGAAACTAGGACTTAGGAAACATAATAAAGCTGGCAGCTTTTCAAAAGAATTTGCTTCCTCATATATTATCTCATTTTATCCTCCTATCATAAGAGATAAGAGCAGGTGCCATTATCTTCATTTGAACAAAATCTAAGCTGCAGAGAAATCGGAACTTGCCCAAGGTTCTCTTAGCACAACCAGACAAACACATTTTTCAGTAGACCACCTTGCAGGGAAGACCAGTCACCAAATATATAGAGAGGGAGGAAAGGAAGGAAACTAGGATTTGATTTCCTTATTGATTCTAGTCAAAATGCTGGGGGCTGCCACATCACTCTATCATTTATTCTTCCCAGAAGCTCTAGGAGATAGATGTTGGCATCTTTTTTTTACAGAAGAGCAAAGGAAGATTCAGGATGTAGTGCAGTGTGTTGGGTAGTATGGGGGATAACAGAAATGGTCTCAGACTTGGAGCCCTGCCCTCCCAGTCCAGTCCAGGAAGTATTATAAAGATATTTTAAACAGTAACCCAAAGGATAGTGAGGCTAGAGAGGACCAAAATGGTCAGAGAAAACTTCTTACGATTGGGGAGAATTGTGTTGAGTCCGCCAGGACAGGAAGAATTGGGTTAAGTGGAAAGGAGAGTGTAACACCTCATCTGCACTGAACAGCAAAGCAGAGGAGAAGCCCCAGTGAGCCTAGAGCTTGTTCAGCCAGAGCAGATGGAGCCTGCTGGGGAGAGGGTGACTGTGAGAACCTGGGCTCTGGCCACAGGAGGCTTTGAAAATGTGTGGGAACAAGACCACAGGATTTTAAAACTGAAATTCATCTGGTTCAAACTCCCCATTTTATAAAAGGAAAACCATGATCCACAGAGGTGAAACGACTTGCTAATGGTCACAATTATGTAATTTACAGGGCTGGGAAAGGCACCAGTACTCTTATTCCTAATCCAGCGTTATTTCTACCCTACACTGTACATGAAGCTGTTGGTGGAAGGGAGTAGTGAAGTGTCAATGTTGAGATCCCTGTATCACTCTCAAAAACTCATTATTACTAATGAAAGTAGTCTCTTAAAAGAAAAAAAAAAGAAGACTTGTACCATTCCATATCATGTTTGCTACTTGCTTGCCCTTGATAGCTGACAACCAGCTTCAGTTAGTCAAAGCACTCAAGAGATGCATTGGATGATGGAAAAGCTATTCTCTTCCATTTTTGTGTTTATCCTCTTTCAGAACCTGGAAAGTCAGCTACCATTCTGTTTTCCTGTAAATTATACTGGCACACACAAATGAATCGTAGTGAAATGCAATGAAATAATCTCTTCAGGGGCAGAGGCATCATTTAATGGTCAGGATGTAACCCTAGATGCAAAAGTGGCTCAAATGCTACTTACCATTTTATTGGGTATCTGTTATGTGCCAGGTGTTGTCCTGTGTTCTTTTCCTGTAATAAAAGGTTACAAATTTGCAAGGTTACCATTATCCTCATTCCACCGAAGAGGAAACAGAGGCTCAGGCTCGATAACTTACCCAAGGTCCTACTACTAGTTAGTGCTAGAGATGCTTGCAGAACCCTCATTTGCCTGACTTCCAACTCCACCATACCTTCCCTGTTTTCCCATACTGCCTCCATAAGATATATCACAGCATAAGTAACCTAAAAAACGGTTTTATTTATTTCAAAGGCAGTAAAGCAATGTATACATACTGTAGAGAAGTAGGAAATTGAGAGAAAGAAGAAAATGAAGCCCACACAGACATAGGAATAGTGTATTAACATCTTATCTTCCCAGAACTCTTCTCCATAGATTCACCCTGCTCTACCTTCCAAACTTGAACCCACTTGGCCCACTGTAGTCCCTTGGTTTAGCTTACACTACAGGTTCAGCTGTGCCCCATGATTATTTGCTACAGTGTTGATGACGATGAAGCAGTTGGGCCTTAATGGACAATGTGGTGGGCAGCAACCAGGAGATCTGGGTTTTAGTTTTGCTTTTACCACTGCTCTGCTCTGTGCTGTGAGGCAAGTGACGTCTTCCCTGAGGTTCTTCATTTTTTCATGGATAAAATGAGGGAATTGGATTCCATCAATCTCTGCTGTTCCTTCTGGTTTTGATGCTTTTTAATTCTACAGTTATGCTTCATGTTGACTTTGTCAAGCTTATGTAGAGGGAGTGAACAGAACTCTGTTCTTAGAATCATCTGGTGAGTTTCTCGAGCAGGTAGGCATTGCCTTCTGTCTCCAAGTATGTCACTTACTGTTGGTCCCCTCATATTTTGGGTCCGTGTCATTCTCACCACTTGGATCTTTGAGCAGGGAAGGTGAGAAACTTGAGGCCTAGGCAGAAGTAAGGTGTGTTTGTGGAAGAAAGCTTCAAGGCTCATGGAACTAAAGGCTGGG